TAACTATAGATCAAAATTACAATACAAACCTTAACTTAGTTGCAGTTTGCAATGAAAAACTCTATACAAATGAAATATATTCTAAAACACTCATTTTGATCAAGCCAGTTTCCCTCAAACAAGGATAGACCATTATCTTTAATATAACTTCATGCAGTCCTAGTTCTTTATTATTAAGATATCAATTAGAGGATTATGCATTGATTTTTCTGTTGCAGTTAAAGGATTTAAGTTTGAGGAGGGGAGAGTACGAGGACATTCTTCCACTTTCCGTAGCAAACTAACTAGATTTCTAGCTAATAAATCAACTAATATTTGGCACTGCTAAGGAAAAAACACTCAAACTGAAGGCAAAACAATTGTAATTGTTTTTGAATTACAGTTTAAGGTGTTCTCAAGTAGCTACCATAGAGACGTCATCTGTCACCATATACATTATATACTACAGCAAATTACACTTTCATGTCATTAAGTGGGGTGTACAGCATTGTTTGCAAGCTGAATTGCAATTTGAAGAAACAGGTTAGAATTTTATTGTTCTTTCATGCCCTACCTTCAAAGATTGCTTTCCTTATGTTCTTCCAAGGAGATTCTGACTACATAACAGTTCTGCTGCAATACACAAACGTACTTCCGTGAGCTTAACCCTACTGCTGAAGTGGCTATCTGGCATGTCAACCCACCATTCCCCTTTGTGACTCCCAATATCCAAACCGTTTACCATTTTCGTTCATCATTTTTATAGCCGAATACCCATATTTTGGTCACTGTTCTCATTTTCAATAAGACAGTGTTTGGGAACAGAAAAGCAGATACGTTAAATTTTGGATAACAGTTCCAGACCACTTTGTGAGCCTCAGCAAAACAATTTCAATCTAAGAAAGGTGATAAAGTGTGTTTTGGGCTTGCAAAATATTCCATAAAGCAACATCAATATTGATTAATAATGGGTGAGCTCAAGATAAATTTGACCAAGTACTTCTACCTTCTCTCATGATCCAAGGGACCTTTTTGTATTATTTGGCAAAATGCCCATTGGTAATTACATTTCAATATATCACATGATGCATTGCATCATCACTTATGACTGTTAAGTGAACAAAAGATGTGAGGCCAGATTTTCCAAGGAATGGCAATCACAATCAGGTTGTCATGTCACTCCTACTTTATTTACATTCACAAGGAGCTCCACATTTCTGACCATAGGTGCCGATCCAGGCTCCTTCAGAAATGCACAGCGCACTTTAAATCTGACCGATCCATTTGCAGTGCAGGATAGTTGGGAAGTCAAACTACACACCTATTTATCACAGAATTACTTGCCATATTTTATGATGTAAATGTCCAGCATCGAAGTCACTTTGATAGCGCTGTTAAAGGGTAAATATGGGGGGGGGGGGGGGGGGGGGGGGGGGGGGGGGGGAGGGGGGGGGGGGGGGGGGGGTTGGATCTTGCTGGGGGATTCGGATGACAGGCTGTCAGATTCCAGAGGGTAGAGGCAAGTTTGGGAGGACAAGGGGGCATATCAGGTCGTCGGGGAAGAGAAGATGTTAGGTCCCCAGGGGTTTAAGGGGTTGAGAGAGATAAGTATGTTGCAGCACATTGGGATTCTGCTCAGTAGTTACCCAGCAGTTACAGTACGTTTTAACTTAACTTTTCCTGGCTAATTATTTACTTTACCACAGTGGAACCTTCCCAATTCTCTGATTTAAATGGATACTTTTGAAGGTTTCCAGTTGAAGGGGAAATTCCCAATGGAATCTTCAATCTCTCAAGCAATTCCCACGGTATTTGCGACACTGGGCGTTGCGCAGTATCCCAACATACAACTCCCATTTACGCCACAGAAATAAACATTTGACCAGTGGAAAATCAGGACCATAATTTCCTAGAAAGCATACGATTTAAGGGCTTACCAGGATACAAAAAGTCGAACTTCTATGACATACGGAGAAAACAGATCTGGGCCGCCAGTTTGAGTTCAGTTCATATGAATCAGGTTATCATTTTAGAGGCCTTCAGGCTGACAGACTTCTATCAAAGTTTTAAAGCTGTGAGAACTAGAAAGTTGTTTCTAGGCCATCAAGACTGTAAAGTGTCAGTTAACGAAGTTTAAAGAGTTAAAATAGGAGTTGATACTTCACTTTGATTGAGTGTCTGTAAAGGACATTGTTGGGAAGCAGGTTGAAGCTTTGTTTTGCTATTTATGTTAAAACCTTTCTAAACTGTCATATTGGATTTTTTTGTATTAAAAAAGTTGCATCCCATTTTGATAGCCTTGTGAATACCTTTAGTACCTAACCACTGTGAGATCCAACTGCAAAATTTAAACTTGTGATCTATCAAGCCAGATATCACTCTGGGATCTAACCATTCCCATCAGCTGTGATCATAACAGTGCATATAGTAAAATGAACAATGAGGGTCATAGAAAAAATATTTAGCAGAGAACAAGAATCATGTGCTGTGTATGAAAACGTTCCGCTAAGAAACCCATCTGATCTATCATGAATATGGGATTAAAGGTGCATTGCAATTTATCTTCCGCTGAAAACAATAAGAGGCTCTATCCAACAGAGATTAGATCCAGTGCATGTGCACCATCCTAGGAAAGAATGGGCTTAATGTTTTTCATTTTGTTTCTAATTGTATGT